TACAATGTATATAGTAGATAAGTAGGAAACTACTTATTTAAATTAACAAAAGAAATCATTGATTATAAAATGTTTCACTTCAATTAATTAATTGATAAGAGTTTACTGTTTTAATAATTTACGAAATAGGATTAGTACAAATGAATTACATAATGGTCATTTTAAAATGTAATTTTGTAAAATAATTAAAGAAAATATAGATTAAAGAGAAATTTAATGAAATCAAGCAATGAAATCTTATTACAGTGTCTTATCATAATGATATCAAATAAAATATGTGATAATTTTCACTATGATATATGAATGATTATTGTATGATTAAGTGAAGTTTATGTTGAAATATCGAAACGATCATAAAAATTACATACTTATTACATTAATACTGGATATGCATCATAATCATGAAGTAAAGAGATTGAAGAAATATAATGTGTTGTAAATAAATATGAAACGTGAGATACGAATCTAGATTGTTGAATATAATAACAAAAGATCATAGAGCTAAAACAATTCATTGATTATGTAATGACGTAATTGAATATATATCTTTTAGTGCTGAATTCTTTACTCTATTCAAAAATAGTTTGATTTTATTTTTTTAACAAGTAAAGCGTCGTCATATAAACAGTCTATAACAAACATTTATAAGGAAGCTCAGTTTGAAATAATGGATGAAAAGAAACATAAGTTAAACGAACCACTAATTAACTTCATATAGTGATCATTATTATGACATTGTTAATCACTCAATATTAACCACAGTTTCATAAATAATGATACTCCTAGTGACGCTATCAATTACCTTAATTTGCATACTTAAACATTTAAACGTTTTAGGGTTAAGTATATTTGGTAGTTTGGATTTCGTTCCAGAACTGCAATTTGAGATAAAATGCTTCTTTTGTAATAAACAACTGATTAAATTTATTTTATTAATGAAAACCAAAGTATACACGTGTACACTATTCATTTGAAAGTATTTTAGTGGATAATGTACTAGTTATAAGTTTTGTCATAATGTACAGTATATATTGTCTCAATAAAATGGCTATTCAGTGTTGAAAATCAGCCATGCTATGAATTGATCATACTTAGTATTTGGTTGTTTTAGTAAGTTTTTAGAAGTTTCTATAAGATATAAACTGCTTTTATTAACTTAGAAGGATTATGTCACTAATGTGCATTTATTATCTAAAATTTCCATGTTATCCAGCTTTTTCAACAACAAACAATCAAATTACTATGATATTTTATATATGCGCCTCTAATGTATTGATTATGGAAATAGTTTAATGATTAGTTTGATAATTAGTTTAATAATTATATTAACTTTTAAAGACCCCCATCATATTAAACGACTAATATTTGAACAAAGAATATTCTTTTCGATAAATTCTCTTCAGGTTCTACAATTATAATTAATAATCCGAAAAATGGCCAGGTTAAGGGCAAAATACATCGTTTAAAGCATGTGAATTTAAGATTGTTAAACAAAGTACAATCAAATTGTTAGTGTTGATATGATTTATATAAAATGTTAACTTGGATCTGCATATATGTTAAGTCAAATTTAATATCCATGATCAGAATAAATGTGGGTCAGATAGGGTGAGAGAAATAATAGTGCAATTACAATTATATTATCACTATGACAACATTACAGTAGTACCTTCAAACATTCTACACTTTTTATAATGCAATGAGAAGACGAAGTTTATCAGAATTATGTGGTATATTAGCGCAATACATTTCGAACAATTTGATCACACATATGTGGAAAATTTAGTTGAAAACTCAATTCAAAAGATGGAATTGTATAAACGATATGTTGATGATATAATAATCATAGGGGATAAAGGTGATGACATAAACCGCTTGTTAAAAGAATTCAATAGAATTCAAAACCACATTTCTCTTACATGTGAAGAAGAGAAGAACAACAAACTTCCTTTTCTAGACATCTTGATCAGTAGGAGGGATGATGGTTCTATCCAACGTGCTATATACAAAAAGCCAACATGGACACGGCAATATCTTAATTTTCATAGTCACTGCCCTATTCATTACAAACGCGGTTTAATAAAGAGCTTATTCAGTAGAATCAATCGTATCTGTACTAGTGATACTATTGAAGTCGAGACGAAGCTCCTGACTGATACGTTAGTGAATAATGGTTATCCCTTGAAGTTCATAAACCGCTGGAAGGGTTGCAATACGATTAGACCTATGACGCTTCTGGCACCCAAAAAGCGAGTTTATATTACGTTGCCATTCAGAGGTGACACAAATAGTCTCATGTTGAAACGGAGACTTAAATTAGCCATCAACCGGACATTTTATGCAGCCCAACTTGTCATTATTGAAAAGACAAGGTCCATGTTTCACCAAAAGCCCAAACAGCACGTAAGCGATTGTGTCACATCCCATTGCGTCCATCAATTTACATGTATGTGTGGAAACACGTATATAGGGAGGAGCAATCGTGATTTGCAATTAAGGGTGGGTGAGCACATACCAAAATGGTTGCAAAAACAAAATGATTCCAATGGTCAAATAAGATCACAGGATAGACAGACATCATCCTCCATTGCGAAACATTTGATTGAGACGGGTCATAAGGTCGACATCAAATCAGCATTTGTAGTGTTATACAAAAGCCTTCAAGGACATATACTAAGGTTTATTGAAGCCTTGGCTATACGGAAACTAAAACCCCCTTTATGTGTTCAAAAACAATTTGTCCTTACACTAAACCTACCCTGGTAATACTGATTTATTATCCAGAGTGGTAATCACATTTGTTTTGTGTACTTTAATATTTTTTCCTTTGTCATGCTTACCCTTAACCTGTCTAGTTGACCTTTTATTTTTATATATAAATGCTCTTTACAAGTATATGTGTGATCAGATTGTTCGAAATGTATTGCGCTAATATATCACATAATTCTGATAAACTTCGTCTTCTCATTGCATTATCAAAATTTATCGAAGGGACTAACTGTTTTAAAATTCTACACTTTGCCTAAATCTTAATAACATATTTGTCGTTTATGTAACTAATCATGTATCTCATATACTTGTAGATAACATGTAGACTAAAATAAAATTTCTGCTAAATAATGTTTGGAGTATTAAAGCTAACTTTGATAACTGAAATTATCTTCAAAATGATTTAAAAATAAAACAAAGTTATTATGATAAATTTCACGAACTTGGTGTATTAAATTAGGAATAATTATCAATGATGTACAGAGACTATGAAGGTGAGCTTTCCAATGATCGATTCTAGGAATAGATAACATTGATAATTGTATAAGTTCACTCCGGTGACAATTTTATTTCTTATGGTGTCACATGTGAATCAACCACCATTTTGGTTTAGGGCTATTATAAAAACTTTCATTTGTTTTTATTGTTGAGTTACTTATTATTAGCAAGTAGTATTATGTAAAACATAATATTACTATTATGTAAGGAGCTGAAGTTCGAAATTTAAAGCATTTAACGCATAATAATTTATGATGTTTGACACCGACATACTAAAATACCATACAATGTTCTCCTATCACGATAAAACAAAAGGTTTAAATCCCTTAGTACAGTATTTCATTCATTAACAAATGCCGGTTTCTTAGTTATTCCTTTCACTGCAAAGCAAAAGTCCTAATGAAGGTATAAAATAATTTGAAGTTAATGTTGTATGTTTACATGCCAAGAACAACTGGACTTGTCTTAACGAGTAGTACTAACATCTGTTCAATAATACGATATAAGATTGAGTTTCCATTCAACTAAAAGTTACCAGGATTACTTAAAATATTTTAATGAACAGTTTGCTTTTCTATTGAAATTTTTGAAACTGTGGTATACTTTTAACCTTCCTGAATTTACACTGTGCTGGTCCCAGATTACTCTTCAATATAATAAATTTGAAATACCTAAGGTGGAAACTTACTGAATCCATAAAGATCTAATTTTTCGGCCTATTAGTTTGAAATTTGGAGCCCCTTAGGCTCTGTTCAGGTTACTTTGATTAATAGACTTTTTCTTGAAAAATCCGTGATAAATAAATCACCAACTCGATGAGACATAACTGACGTTTTAAAAATACGCCCGTTAGAGCGTATTACTATATAATTCTACTCAATAAGCCCGACAGTTAAAAATTTATGCTCTACTTAACCATTAATACGATTAGTGATTGTTTATAGTAGAGTGCTAACAAATCAGATAAAGAACAAAATCTGAATTCCATTAGAAGCAACATAAAAGACCTCGTGAAATGTATTTATTAGATATCACAGTTGATATCCTTTGAACTTCATATGAATTTTCGATATAGAAGCTTCAAATAAATCGTATCAACTTTATGATAACTTTTATCCCTATACATTTCTTTGTTCAATATTCTAGTGGTTTCTAACTTTCTTCAACCTATGATTTAATTTCTTTCCCGATTGTATAAAATACTTTGCAAAAGTTCTGCTTATACACACCGTAAGTTTATTTTATTTATTTATCGATAGTTTCTATCTCATGATCTATTAGAAATAATGATTACAAGTGTACAGTCAATATATAAATGAGTGTATCTTCTACTAGATGATCATCATCATTATTGTTATCATTATTCATCATCACTATTATCGTCGTCATCATAGTGTTTTGGGGCTAATAAATCCTCAGTTATACCAGTCTTTGTGTTCTTACTTTTGCGTCATGGGAATTGCAAAGGTCCCTCTTTCCAAGTATAAGTGGCCAGCGATTTTCCGGCACAACAATCAGCGACGACCAGATATAACAATTGCGACGACCAAACATAACAAGAATATAACTTGGATATGCGTTGTTTTGAATAATGACTCCAACAAGCATTCGAAAAGTACTGGTTGAAGTAATCACAGTCGTTAAGTCTATATCTTTGTTAGCATAAGACCAGTGAAATTGTTATAAACTCGCTATCTTTAACAGAAAGAATACTCATTAAAGTAATATATATATATATATATATATATATATATAATAGTTATATAGAAATAACAACTCAGAGTATTACTATATGTGTTCTGTACAGACGGTAGTAATAGCTTTACTCCTGAATTTTCTATACACTTATCACAGTAAATGTCATATTATTCCTATATCTATTCACATGCTAGACTGGATGACAGTTCCATCAACAAGAGTTCCTCATAATCATTAAATGTTATTAATAAGATGCAATCAAAGTTTCATTAATTTAATCACTGGTAAATGATAGTAATCAGTTGTTTCGATATAATTTTTGTATGTTAATTTGTAAATGTCTTTTGATTAATAATAACACGAATATCCTGCTTTTTTCGTTTTACATATATTATCAACGGTAGTTTTTGTCAGACATAATTTTGCTTGAAATATTCTGGTTAAAAAAAGACAGCTAAACTGTGTACACTTTTGTTCAGCCTATTTGAATGTTATCACAAAACCCATCTTGAAATAATCACATGCTGTCTGTAATCATTAAAGTCATCTAAACTCATATGATAATTGACTGACATTAATGTAAAACAAACGTTGTATGAAATGACATTTTTTTGAAATAATATCTTACAGAATGAAATGTCTCGCCTGCTATCATTATCCTTGTTAGTATAATGGTTTAAAGAGTTGTGAATCGTACAGTTTTGCATATACACTACTCAAAATAATATTACTTTTTTTAGTTGAATCTCCTAATTTATCCTTTACATAATGGATTATAGATTATTTTAAGCAAAAATAAAATGGATTTAAGTACTAGTTAAGTACTACTAGCTTTTAAAATAGAAACATTTCATAAGTTAGAGGAATCTGAAGTGGAATCGAAAGTCATTGGTTAAAATTATTTTATTGTTTCAACTGTTATGCTGATTTCTTTGAGGAACAAGTCAATATTGGTGGTGCAGAAACAGGACGTGAAGATTTAATCCATTCATATGATGGGTTCAGATATTCGCAGTATGATGGAAATAATTCGTCGAAAACAAACTCATCATCTATGAAATAAAAAATATAAAATGAAACCAGACATAAATATCTCAGGTTAATATAAATATTTAAATGAAAAAAATATAAATTTGGATGACAGAAATGTGGAAATGTAGTCCCAACTACTAACTTATTGTAAAAAGTTGAATACTCTTTGAACTCTATTACTTTCTCTTAAATAAAATATGGTTGTAGATCTTAATACTAAACATCAGTAAAACATGCCTAGTTTTCATATCATATTTTGTTTTAAATAAGCATCAAAATATTGAACAACTCAATTTATGCTATGGATGAGATGAAATTTCTACGGACAAAACTTTGCTTTCTAAACTATCCCTGTTAATCTATCAGATGCTAATAAGAGTTCTTGAAATTTATTGACAAACAATTACAATTTAAATTTTTAATTTACATATTCCATTCAACAGTAATTGTTTAGATATTGTGACATTCAACAACTTTTTTCATAACGTACCAATATCTTCATCCTCAGAGGTTAAGTTGTAAGTAGATAAAGATGAGCTAGATTCAATTAAATTCAGTTGTTTTAATTCATCAATGTTTCTGCATGAGAAAATCTGACTACATGTTGAACAATATAGATAAATCGTTGATTCGGTTAAATTTGATGAATCACTAAATGTATACTTATCTTCAAAGTTTTTTAGGAAGTTTTCACCATAATCTTGATAGCTTCTAACTTCATATTTTGAAGAGTATAAGGAGCTAAATGATTTGGATGAGCTTAAATGTTGACTGATCTCTTCAGATTGATTGTTCGAAGGTTGTGTTACTTGAGGAGACGTTTCAAGGGTTTCCTTTCTCTGATTGATGATAGTAGATGTTTTCGTACATCTAGTTCTATTTGTACCAGTATTGAGTCTTGTTGGAACAGGTAGAATGAATTGATCAAATTGCTGTTTCCATAGACTTTTCAGTTTTTTAAATGAACATCTAAAAGTAAGTTGACAAAATACACTGAACTTTGACATACAACGTAAAAAATTTTACCTTTAAAATTGCGAAAGTCTCATATATAACAGTGAATTAAATGTGTTCAATTTATGAATAATTTGCAATGCAACAAAATTTTATAAATTACTGTTACCTTTTGAAATACAGTTTTATTCAGCTTCGGAACTGACTAATAGTATCAGGTAAAGTCGATTATGTCACCGACCAAAGTTGGTCGGTTTTAGTAGTTTAACAGTAAGTGTAATTTCATGAAGTTCAACATTCGCATACATAAGATGTATCGTGTTATTGCATACCATTAAATCACAAGCTTTCATTTATAGTTTCATCCCATTTATTTACATATTTGTAATATCTTTCACTTTTTGATATTTTCATATTCCCCTGATTAACTTATTAACCATGATATTTGCTTTCTTATCAACATATTTATGTTTTTGAATTTTACAATGGACTGTTACACTGTTAATATTACACTTCTTTCTCTGTTGTTCACAACCTATAGACTCTTTACAATCATTAATATTACCATAATTTTTTTCGTATCACTTCGTGTCACTCTACTAAAATATAATAATAACTTCCTACTAATCAAATATTGCCATGTTATAATGTTTATGAATATATAATTAACATTCAAGCAGGATATATTTCAGCGAAGTTTATTATTTTCATAAGTACAAGTACTACATTTCAGGATAGACATGATGTAATTATACTTTGATACAAGATACACGATTTTAAGATGAAAGCTTTTCTAAAGGTTTTCTACTTTATTATAAACAACAGAAAAATGTTGGAGATGCTTTATAAAATAATTAAATTTCTCTTCATCTCAGATAATTATGTTTTCATTTATCTTCACTAGGTTCGGTTGGATACAAGAAAATCAGATATTTTTCTAACAGAGTAACTATATAAACTGCACAAAACTGTTTAAAAAGGTAAAAATAACTCTACTGATTAAAATTGGAACCATCAATCTAGAAGTATTTTAACGAACACATGATTCAAATATCCTGTATTAAGATTCTTGTAGATTGGTGCTTGCTTACTTCCAAGGAAATTCTTAAATGAATCCATGACGTTGTCCAACATTTGCTAGTTCTCAACAGAGTTAGAGCGGATGCCTATCTGTGATAAAAACTAATTTTAACCAGGAAAACGTTTACACATTGTATATTTTAATCATTAAATTCATTTGTATTTTATTGAAACTCACCTCAATGAAGAGAGTGTTACGGTAAGTAAATCCCAAAATCATTATAGGGATAAAAAAATAAATACACTTTAATTGATATAAGCTTACACTAGAGATGAAAATGATAAACCATATTTGCTTTAACTTGAAGTAGTTGATTATTATTAATTAATTACAACATTATGATAGTAATTAATGGATTTTTATAATCTGTTAACGATAGTATTATCGTCAATAATTCAGTTTAGAATAAACTTTTACGAAGTGTAGTGACAATTGGGTAAAAACAAGTGATTGATCATTTGATTACAGAGCGACTGACTGTCAAAATTAAAAATAATCTGTTTTGGTAAATACTTTTATTCATTTGGTTTATCACTATAGTGCTACCATATTGAGCCAATGAGCGTATGTCATGTTATCATTACCATATTGTAAAACAGTATTATTGAATTAATGGATTTTAATGAAAGTTGATATCACATCTGCACCTGTATTAATTTTCAATTCAGACTTGCTTACTTGGACTAGAATAGAATATTGAATCCCATGAACAGACATACTTTAGTTTGATACAATACATTGGTAGCTACTGTGATGTACTGAGATATCATGCTTAGTTTGTGTTTAGTACTGAAACTAATTATCACGAAGTAATTACATTGCCTGTAATTGCACAATTATTGGCAAACATATAATCTTAATTAACTGAACTATTACTAAAGAGTAAACATGGTGGATAAATATTGTAACATAAAATGTAGATAGATTTATGGCTAGCAGTAAAATCCAGGACACACGTTTCGCCCTATTCGGGGCGCATCATCTGTATGAAGTTGAATCACATAGCTAATGTCTACCCAGGAACTCGGACCCAGCATCTAATTCTGACCGCAAACGTGTTATCCACGGAATACCAGCACTCAGTTGCAGAAACATATAGCGAACGAGTCAAAAGTGGAACTCCACTAACAGTCACAAATTCATCAACTCTACAAACATTTGTGAAAATCAAAGCAATCAGCATAAGATGCACGTCTGTCGGCAAAGACTGATAGAAGTTCAATAACGATTATCAAAGCAGGATAACCTATATCCTTAAAAATAATGGTATCAGTAACATTAGGGGTTTATATATATTCAAATTTTGTCCATAAAATGTCATAGTTCGTACATCTACATTTTCAAGCATTATCTTCAGTTAAATATCGATGAGTCATGAATTATAACCTCAGTGTAATATTGAATTAAACAGTTTAAATTAACAAATGTTATAAACTGTAAATACTAATGAAAATATAGTGTCAAAAAGATTTATTTCACTGTACAGTTCTCAGTAAAGAATTCCTATGACTAATATCTTCTAACTAGGTTCAAACTTCGATTCCTGATGTTTAGAAATTTTCAGCTATCTCCGAACTTAGGTTGTTTGATTGACAGAATCCATTAATAACGCATATATGGAATTGTATATGAACTTATGTTATGAGTGACTCTGACTTTTAGTCAGAAAGGCAATTGACCAGTATTAAATACTAGATGATATGACAATAATTACTAATAAATCACGAAATACAATATATTTTCATCAGTACCTTCAAGTCACATTCTCATGTGTTACTATTCATTCAGCAAAAACACCTTACACAAATTATTTTCAGGAAGAATAACGTTAATTAACGTCTTTAATTTCAACCAACTTTAAAAAGTAATTGACATCATATTTCACAGTTAAACAATCAAAGAAAGAAATGTTCACAATTTAAAAGGTAAAAATAACCACGCACGCAATAAGTTGACTATTTGGCGAGATTACATTTTCTGGACGAACCAATCAGGTATAAGATAACGAGTCACGAATTTTGGCACGAAATTCATCCGTACATTTAGCTAAATAGAGTTTTAGCAATATAGCTTATGTCAGTTCGTGATGAAAACCCCAAATCTAATTTTCAACTCTAACTATTAACTGTAAATGAAAATTCCAACTGCTTTACAGCCCTCATTTAGTTCTAATTAATAGGTATCTACACTCAGGGTCACTTCAGCGTCAGTCAAAGGTCGTCCATAAATTATAGTCTCACCGACCATTTTTTTAACGATAGTGTGATGTGTATCAATGATGTCGACAAATATAGGTAGTATGTATTATCAATTAATAATCAAAATGCCTGATGGCCAACAGTTAAGAAGATTGAAGAAAACAGAACGAAATCAGAGAATGATTAGTATGGAAATAGAAGGACAATCAAGTCTGAGACGATTGGTTGACATTTTACCAATGAAGTATTTATTGTATAGGTTTCAGATTTTATTTAGACATTCTGTAATTTTGTGTTCAAAAACATTCGATTGTCCTCACTTTTGTTCTCGTTCACTACAATAGTATTATTGATGTGATTCTGTTCGTTGAGAATATAGACGTCATACATTCATTTATAACAGCAAATAATTTCAACGAAATAAAAAATAAAAATAAACTACTATTTAGTCATAATCCTCAACAAACCAAATATTAGAATATTTTAATCATATGTTTTATCACTCAAAAATTATGAATTTGTCATGTGATGTATTTTGAATGTTTGATAATTTATGAAGTGAAATACTGTACCATTACTACGGTTAAGAATACAAATCATTTAAATTTAGTATCTTAGATGGATACATTTATTTGTGTTATGTACTTTAAATTAAATGATTCAACTGAGAAATATTGATTATCAGCTTGAACAATATCATAACGATCTAGTTTACATAGAGATAAGTTTATACACTAAGGTTCAAATTAACAAATAACATTCAATATTAAATGAAAATAAAATTAAAAATATTACGAATTTATCATTTTGTTGCTTACTCATTTTTTCTCATTTCATAACGTTTTAAAAGACAAGATTGATTCGCATTATCTGAGAATAATATAATTATAGGAAGTAATATAAATTAATGAAACTTCAGAAAAACATTGTTTAGTTCTTTTATTGAAACATATTTGTAATTATATACACAATTAAATAACTGATAAGTGTAAAACTACATAAAATAGTTTTTTTGTTTCTAATTTTTTCTAAAAATTAATTTACTCCATCTAATACACAATGTTGAACTAAGACTGTTACGAATGACTTCAGTGTTTATTAATTTACGTTTCATTCTAGAATATGGTTTTAACAATATTGATTTTGATTATTAAAAGTAAAAAAAGTCATCGTCTCCTAAATAGTATAATGATTTAAGAATCAGTGAATTATTGCATAACATGATATAAAAACATGTCGGTTGCTTCTTTTTAATTGATATTTCGAATACTTATTTATGTTGATTTGAATCAGGTCATAGGATCAAATCTTTTGATCTTTAAGAGATACCCATGAATATTGAGTTTGTGTAGTTATACGTTCTACTAATTTCCAGAGATATCAAGTAGATGCTTTTTGAAGGGAGACTAATATGAACGTGAGTAACGTAAATGAAAGGTAACTTAATAGTTCTTGTATATCAGTATGAAACAGTGGTCTGCACACAAGGCCTCACATGGATTTATTAAAGACCTCGCTTTACTACTATTGAGTTAGAGTCTAATAGTTCATATTCTTAACATAGATTAAAAGCATCCTATTTTAGTAATAGGTAATCTGATGCATTTATGTTTTCAACGGTTATGCAGACGATCCCAACATTGAACTTAAAATGTCCAAAAAGTGGGTTACTCTTCTCAAGTTTTCTTTCCAAATGAAACTTTTTAAGCATAACGACATCTAGTTATCATAAAACTATTTGCATATGAGTGTTATACGGAGTTCTGTCAAATTTGAAATGCTAAAATTAATTTCAGCCTTTTGGTATATAAAATTTAGAAAACTGATAATTCACTCACCGACATCTGTCACATGTTTGTTCTTCTCAAGTGCTTCAAACGGTGAATCGAAACAATGAACATGCCTGTTGTGGTTCACATGACAAGAATCTAAGTGGAGAGTCTATGTTAAATACAAATAGAATAAACAACTATTAAACGTTGAAGAACCTTTAATAGGTTTCCCAAAGTTCTGTTCATTACATGTCTTTGTTTTAACTATTCGACCTATCATAACATCATTCTGTTGTCGAACTGTTTTACTCAAAACCTTATTTGTATTACATTGATTTTGAATTGTATTTCTTTTGCCATTGTGTTTATTAAAACGAGTTGTTGAATATTGTCTGAATCACAAATAGAGAGCAATAATATGATAATAATTACCTCCGTTTTAGTTTGTTTAATTTATTTATCTCTGCTGCAGTCATACCGAAATCTCTTAAATGGTTTTCCTGCAATATCATTGAAAAAAATAAGGATAATTATGTTTTTTACAGGTTTATGCCTAAAGAATTAATTGAAATGATATTAAAATATCATTACCATAATATCCACAAAAACCCCTTTTGATAATAATCAACATATGCTCACTAGTGACTGACTTCAAGAGGTATTTCCTGGAATTTTAGTGGAAAGCCTTGACCTGTGGAGTTCAACCGGTTCTGTTGTGAGATAATAACTCACTGATGACAATGGTGGATGTGTCGCTCAATTTCGTCGATTATTTGAGGTTAGACGTTAACACCATTGGATGCCGGTCGGCTCAATGGTCTAGTGGTTAAGCGCTCGCGCGCAATGCTGATAGATCCTAGGTTCGGATCTCTCGAGGCCGGATCGTGAATGGGCTTTGTTAAGGATTCGCACAGTAGAACGAAACAGCCGTCCAGTGCTTTCATGTTTTCCGATATTGAAATATATCAAAAAGTTAATATTCGTTATTAAGAGAAGAAAAATCAATCTTTTCACATGTATTATTAAATATACGACCCGGTTTGTTCGAAAATCAATCTTCTATAGGATACAATGAACAAACCTCAAAGTTTTCATTGCATGTAAATTTTCGCAGAATTTTCGAAAGAACTAATACTGTAAAACGAAAGACTTAATAAACTGAACAATGATAATGTAGACTGTCATATTTCTAAAATGTTTGTAAACACTAACAAAACAATTTATGTAATGATTTGGTTATCAAGGAATATAAATATAACCAAGACGAATAGTTTATTTATAATAGAAACCATAAAGATACTACAATTTCTACCATCATATCCGATGGTAGATGGTGATTCTTTCTTATAAATAAACAAAATCATTCTTCATTTATTTTATTTTGTTAGTAATTTCTATGACTATCAACATATACCATAGATTCGCCTAAGATTTAATTAACTAACTTAATGGTAAATTTTCCTGAAATCCATATTTCGAACATACATTACAATTCATAAATTCACTGCTAACATTTTAATTTTCTATTGTAGAAAATTTCATGCACATAGTTCCGATTATCACTTTGAAAAGAGCAAGAACAAAGGTTCTAGCAGAATATCATGAATTCATTTTATTTTGTTTGGGTCGTGTCAGCTGCTTACGACCTATGATATTTAAAACATAGTTACGAAATGGGTTTAAATTACGTACATGAAAGAGGTTAGTTTGAAGTTATGTTGAAAACATATTGGTATTGTGGTGTGTGCTACTTATGTAGACATAAGTAGTTTATGACATGAGTCGTAAACAGAATGTCTGGCAGCAGAGAGACGAGAAGATCGAACAATAAAGAATGAAGAAAGAATGCAATTTCTATGAAAATGCAAGAACAAAGGAATTCTGAGTCATTTGAGACAATTAATGTACATTTTGCAAATTGAGCATTTAAGATATGGTTGTTAGATTCTACTAACTAGTTCTGTAATTTGTTGTTAAATACATTCGATTGTCCTTACTAGTGTTTTGTTCACAACAGTATGGAATAGAAAGTATGTAAATGAATTCAATACCCTGAATATTGTAAATATATACCTTATGTGAAAGAACATTCGACAACATTGCTTGTAACAACAGTTCAAACGGACAGAAACAAGTGATTACATAATGTCGATAGAACAATGAGAAGACTGAGTTGATCTAAAAAATGTGATGTATTTGCGCTACATATTTTGAACAATCTGAAAATTAATAAAGTTCAACTTTCATTTAATTGATCTTTATTAATTATTATATAAACTGCCCTGACAAGTATATGTGTGACAAGATTATTCGAGATGCATAGTTCAAATAGATTACATTTTTTAAGTCAATTCCATCTTTTCATTGTTCTATCTAAATTTATAAAAGGGACTATTTGCTTTAGATAACATAATGAGTAAATATTGATAGGAATAAAACGAGCAGTGCTCAGTTAATAAAATAAGATTACTAATTTGGAAGATGGTTGAAATAAATTTATTTACACCCTTGCTATACTCTACTTATATGTCCTCAATACAACTTCCAACCAAACCTTTTCGTGTAAGTAATTAAAACCCATTATATAATTATGATTTTAAATATCACAGGTACTAAGCAGCTGATGCGACCCAGACGAAATAAAATGAATTCATGCTATTCTGTTAGAATCTTTGTTCTTGCTCTTTTCAATAACGTAAAGAAACTTAATTTTATAATGAAAACAATATTTTAAAAAAAGGTTATAAAATATGCCTTATATTACATATTATGCTTAATGTTATTTAAATAGTTTAGATCATGAGTTTAGCTTCAATTGACTCATGATAATAACTATTGAAATTATTATCATATCCACAAAACCCTTTTTTGATATTAATTTTATTTAGTTAAAGAAACAATAGTTTAATATACAAAACCCCTACTGATAATATACAATTAATACAATTAAATAAACTAAGTAAATTATTGTCTTACAACTATAATATCAACTCATGATTATTTAACTAACTTTTGAATTCATCCAGTTATATAATACTAATTTAGTTGTTGTATATTGAATGTTATATTTTGATGTAATAAATTGTTTATGTAAACACTTTTTTCTAGTGTACATACCAATATTTATTTATATTTATATCAATACTGTATAACATAAAGTATTACTAATAATAGACTGATTCATTCATTATTGGATAGATGAATAGAATATTGTTTCATTGAAATTATATCTATTTGTCCTAATTTCTGAGTTTATATATTATAAGCACAATTAAAAGTACTACATATATATATATATATATATATATATATATATATATATATAGGTAAATAGATAGATTTCAGTTAATTATTGTTTAAAAGATCACGATATCACCGATCACCTGTTATCATTTACAATGTGTACGTTTTTGTACAAAACTTCAGTATATTATAACTTCGATTTGTTCAAAGAGATTGAAATTTGAATTAGAAATAAGATCTTATTTACTGCTTGCATTTGTTTACTGATGCATGTTACCATAAAATATGTGATTCACATTAATAATACTGATTTTGAGGAAGAAATTCTTTTTTTACATCTTTGAAAAATATGATATTTGTTGTTAATTAATTCAGTCAATACATAGTTTTTTTAAAAAAGAATAGTTATTCTAATGAATATTTATATAATAAGTAAAAGTCACAATATACTGAGAATGTTATCAAAAGCTTCCGAAGACTAGCGTTATATCACAATTGATTGATCAGTGGGTGATGATCAATTTCATGTGTGTCAAGTCTTTCTTAATGCAGATCGAATGCTATCGACAAAGTTGAAATATGGCCACTAGTCTAGGTGACTCTACATTGCGCACACTATGTTATGATAAAATGGTGATTGAAGTTAGTCAGTAGGAAACGCTGAACTCAGGTCAATCGCGGTCTGAATAGCCCAGCAGTAACGTCTCTGACTGTGAAGCTGGGTGATATGGGATCAAATCCGTCAGAGAGCACCAGTTCTCTCAATATTACAGGTACACGTTGCTGACGAGTGTCAAGTTGCATGAAACCCGTATGCAGGGTTTCTTGTTGACTACCTCCAACCACCATCTTACTAGAGCTATATGTTTATGAATTCATTATTCATTCCTTATTTTTCATGAATCTATCAATTCTGGATAGAAGCTTTTATTGCATAAACTTCAATCTTGTTATATATTCATAATTCTTGTTTTATTTCTCTCAAATGTTTAGTCATTGATAGACATCATCTTGGTTATAATCTACAAATAACTAATACGAATCATTTAATATTCTAAATTGATCAAATTTTATTTTACTTTTACATTGTAAGAAATTATGATTTATTCATTAAACTAAATTCATTGTATTCACTTTAGAAAATTACAAACATGCCACTCAATTAGAAAAAAACTTTATTGACTGATCATTTCTATAAGAACTATTCATCAATTTTTTTTATTAAAGAAAATAACGTTCTTATTATAGACAAGAAATGAAGATTTACATTTAATGATGACTTAAGTACTGAAATAGTACATACATCATAATGATCATTTGATTGCGTAATGATATTTTTTTCTCTCTCGCATATATGTCACATGACTCATTTAATTTAAATAGTGTGTTTGTTATATAATTCTAGCATTGATGAATAAAAGGCTTGACTAACTATTTGACTTAATTTTAAAAAATCATATTATTCACTAATTGTTTAGATGAAATGCATTTAAGTGTATATTTTCTCAATACTGCTTACTTTATTAAATCAAAACCTAATATAGTTTATCTAGTGGAAAATTGTATTTAACAATAATTGTAAAATGAGAAGGGGTTTTGTGGAGATTTTGGAAATTTCACTAGTTGAAATCATGAATCAATTGAAGCTAGATCACCATGAAAACCTGGAAGCACTGGACGGCCGTTTTGTCCTAATATGGGACCGTAAAAGTTATAGGTGTTAGGATAAGAGAGTAGCATATAATTATTATTTATATAACGATATACTTTACGAGATAGTTTTGTTTTTGTCTATATTTTCGAAGGCATGCTATAGATGTATATAATTATAGTGTAATTGATTACTTATACTAGAACAAGATAAGAATGAAAGCTTTGTTTCAGTGTTTAATTGTTGAATTAAATTTGTCAAACGGTAATCCATCAATTCTAGATAAGTAGTATGCCTATATTTAATAAAACATTTATTATTAAAACTACAATTCGATAATTATATTTCACTTACCACACAGCATGGAAATCAGTTTTATCTTAATTATCAGTGATACTTTCCTTTTAAACTGTGATGCTGATAAATAAGTAAGTACTTAACTAGCTATACAATATAAAAAATAAGGAAGAACATTAAACCTTCAAAGTTAATTCTACTTTATCTTATGTTTGAATATAAATAAATTTTATCTACGCAAATTATAGTTATATGATGATATATTTATGTAAAGGAAAATCCGACGAGACTATAATTCATGGACAAGCCAATCATAAACGTTTGAGGGATTCAAGGTCACAGAGCCAACTTCAGTACCTAATGCTAACGTACGATCGGTTCACAGTGGATTTTATGCAAAACGGCTAGACTATAATTTGTGGACGAACTAATCAGGTATAGAATAACAGATCTCGGATTTTGGCGCGAAAGTCAGTCATCCATTTGGCTAAATAAAGTTTTGGGATTATAGTTGATGTTAGTTCGTGATGAAAACCCCATATATAATTCCTAACTAAGGCAAGTTATGACAATTATTACGAACTGGATAATAAAAGCACCAGTAACACTGGCTGCAGCTAGGCACTACAATATATTTGAGTAATTGCAGGGCGCACACACTCCTGCATATGCTTGGTTATGTGCATCATGTCGTTATCCACAAGTGGAATTTTGTATACTCAACAACAGGAGTGCACACAAACAATATTGAAGCTATGTGGTCGAGGCTATAGTGGCTTCAGAGGATGACTATTCTGTAACCATATGGATGATTTCCTCTACTACATGCATTAAGATTTTAGAACCTCTAAACCTCTTTCTAACCTTGACAATTTTCGAGTCATGTATTTGAAGTGTATCCACTTTATTTCTTTGATTTTGTATAATATATTTTTACTCTATACTGACTGTTTGCTGACTAGTTAATATTTCTCAAGGTCACTTAAGATTCGTTCAACGGTCGTCCAGAAATTATAGTCTCGTCGAAAATCCATATTATAAATTAATGATTCTGAAGTTCAGCTGTTCGCATTTCTGTTTCACTGTAATAGTCTCAGTAAATTTACATATTAATATCTAGTATCATATCATTTTACCGAGATAGTTAAACTATTTAGCACTAAATAATTTTCTTGATAAGCACATCATCACATCAGCAAGAATTCTTGATCCTTAAAAATAACTAGCTACTTCAAACCATTATATATAAAAGTGCTTTGGAAATATTACATGACCTAAGGTACTAGATATTACGAGTTTAATTTTGTATACTGTTTTCTGCGACATTTACATGCACTATCATACGTTTGGTTGTTTCATGGTTCAAAATGATGAATTTTGAACGTAAAATCTTAAACCTCATTGACTGAAATATCACTGCATTAATATTGTTACATAAAATGACATGTTTGAAAATAAAGTGTTTCAACAATTTATCGCTCTATTTTCAAGCATTCTGAATAATCTGAAGTTAAGAATAATAAAATTGACATTTGAGTACTATTTCTTTTGTCTTGATATTTTGGTATTAGTTATATTAACCATCTGCTCTTTTCCTTTCCGGTAGTTGATTTACCTTTTAAACCGTACACTAAGTTCAAAATACTTAAATCTAGGTGGAATCAATTTTCTGTCCTCATAATCTCTATTCCATTCAAACATTTGAATAAATACTTAAAGTTAATATGTAAACTCCGTATTTTCTCAGTAAGCGTATTAAATCAAATTATATAGATAAGAATCACACATGTGGCACTCTCTTTTGAGACATTAAAATGAGTTTATGCATAATTTAAAGTTTGTGCATTTTATAAACCCACTAAAATAAAATCGTTTTACCGACAGTTTGTATCGTGGATCAAGATGGAAAGTGAGGTATCATCGAAGTGTTATTTGATCATAGTATGTAATATTTAAACTATAGTCATGGATAACGTCATCAGACATCAATCCAAGAGTTTTAGAACTCACGGCAATCATTTTTCAGTTAGAGTACCAAGTTGGTTTCTTATAGTTCCGCTTTTGAAATCCAGTTACTAGTGACCGTTCTAGTGATTTCTGGTGTTCCGTAGTACAATAACTTTACTCCATGACGTATACTGCCTGCAAAATGAATAATCTTTACAAATCTATCATTGTAGTTATACCTTTTTTATATTAAATAAAGATGATAGTCTATAAATGTATGGGAAACAGAAATGAGAAATTTCGACTCAATGTTGTAATTGCCATGTCAATTAAAGGTTTCTGGCTCAGTTCCTGGAAACGTGTTCAATCTAGACGGTCAAGTATTTCTCAATCTAAGACAAAACTCCTGGAGAATGCTTACTGATTCTCAATAGTTCACTAAATAATGTTAGTTCGGAAGAAACACTTGAAGTGGAACAATCTATTCAGTCTTCTATATCAAAAAGCGATTAACTTCATATTATACAAATCAGGAATTTCAAACTATTTTTCCAGGTGACAGAATGGTTGTTCTTCTGTACTATGCGATTGAACATTCATAGTTAATTGGCTTATAAGTTAATTTATATGACTAATGTTTTGATGCTTATAATTTTGGTTGAATTATTTGTTTTAAAAATTGAGAGTTTGTTGAATAAATAAATTTATTTACATATTCTGATGGAGTTTTTTTCTCTGAGATGGATAGTTTGGTCGTGGAGCTTTCGTCTTTCTTTTGAACGATATCGTCACACAAAATTCAGGTAGAAGTCTACCTGAAGTCTACCAGCTCGCAGAACATAACTCCATCAAAATCATCTACTTAAGTTACAAATCGTTTCCATCATTTACATATTCCTCAGTTGTATTTGTCTATGTTCCTAACAGAAGAATTGTTAGCCAACATACCTAACCAATCGTATTTACTATTTCATTCTGTCAAATTATACACATTCATGGAACATGAAATAAACGGTAAAACAAATATAATTAAAATAATTTATACCCGTTTTATGCAAATTAATATTTTTTTTTGTGATTTATTTGAACAAAGAAATTGGTCGAACTAATCGATACATATAAAAATTTTGATCCTGTCGATCCCCAATTTGGATATCTACTGAATCGTTCATCCGGTTCAACAACACTCTGTTGTAAACCTAATCTCGTATCGGTGTTTCTTTTATTTGGTATTTTGACGAGGTATCCTTCTTTCCAGTCCATCGACACTTGTTCTTTCTGCCAAATATTCTTGAAAAGAATGTGGAGCATCTTTGCACCTACTTCTATATCTAACTTCAGTCGGAGTTTAAGGATAATAAAATGGTTTGGTTTGTATTTTTGGGGGTTGCATAATATAAAACAGGAGATGAATGGGTTAAACTAGAGGCACGTTTTGACTAACGGAAATTAATATTTTCAAGAAAAAATCAAACACATTAATCATGAAGGTATCAGTCATGTTTAACTAAGTCTGATAAGAAAATCAATTTATTATAATGTACACTTACTAAATCTATCTGCCACATATCTAGCATAATCGCTCGATCTCATAATATTGATTCAATAATTTATTTTGTTTAGTTGCTCCACCTTAGGGTACTAAATCACGTTATGATACGTGCATGTTTGTTCATGTTAATATGCATTGAAATCAATATTTACATGAACAATTTGAGCTATCCGTTCCTTAATCTGTGAATTTACTTTTATTAAAAAAAAACAATCATGGTATTTAAATACCACATTAGAACTTGTTGAAAATCCAAATAAGACTATAGTTCTACTAAACTATCGTAAAGTTTTTATTCAAATAAAACAAAGTATCGTTTGAAGCTATTACCGGTATGGCTAGAAAATGATATTTGTTTTTTAAATATTCACGTTTATACACGTAATTATGGTGAAGAAATCACTATTACAAATAAACTAGCTAGATAAACGTTAAGTTATAAATTTTAAGTTAAAAATTGACTTCAATTTAATGTAGTGAATACATCGATGATTTTATAAATCGATGTTACAACACCTTTTGCCTTACAGTAATGATTTTTTACTGAAAAAAAGCTATTTATAACATTATTTCCACTTTTTTTAAACAATCATCATGTAGACGATTGAATGATCACTGAGTAGTGACCAATATCGTGTTTGTCTGATCCCTTTACTGATGATTAAACCCAATTTGTAATATTGTAATATGACCATTAGTGTAAGTGATTCGACATCGTCACCTAGGTGACCAGATATCATATCCATCAAGGAATAATTAGAAATTGTGTAACAGACGAAAGAAGTTCATCTAAGAACATAAGGCTATAAATAATACTGTTATATCTCTACATGATGAACATCAGAGTATTCTTGCTTGTGTATATAGCTTATTACCGTACTTAGTGAATAATTATGAGTGATGTAATATTTCAGTACGTTTTATATGATGTTAACAAGAAGTTAGAATATGGCTACCAACATCTTTATACTTATTGTAAATTAAGGGTATGCAATGCGTATGTCAGTTCAAGTGATATCAATAAGTTTTAATAGTAAAACGATATGTTCTTATATCATGTTAAGTATGAGATAATTTCCATTAGCCGGTAATTATTAATGACCAAAATAATAATAAGTAGATGTGTTACTTCGTATTTTTTTCATCTACTATTCAATTAAATAATTGAAAGTGATCGGATCACCTAGTAATGTTCGCTGAATCATCATTGTACTTCAAACACCATAACAGTAATCAATTCAAGCTTAGTAAATAAAAACTTAACAATTTAATCTATAATTTATATTTTCGTTAATCATTATCTCATAATATTACACCGAAAAGGACAAGATGTATGAATTTCATATTATATTTTTAGATATATACCATAGTTTATCTAGATTTTATTTAATTCCCTTTTATTATTTAAATATTCATTAAACTAACCAGATTTTTTAAAAACCAAAATAACAATACTGACTATGCGTTGATCTATTCAAATCATATTGTTCGGTTATGTCATTTACAGTCCTTTGTTTAGAATAAAATAGTTACCTTCAAGGAAGAGTATTGTCATTTGTCGGCGATTTCAAATGATAACCATTAATAAAAATTTACATTAATCAGTTATTGTGAAATCAGGGTAATAATAATACTAAATACTTCTTGGTCTATTTAAATACTATTTTTCAAATTTATCATACACCCAATAAGCTGACTCACTAGACATTAAAATGTCCAATTTCTGATTCAGTATTATTATTGATCTTGTATCTGGAACGAACTGATTTATTTTAGGGAAGTATACTGTCACTTGTTGACGACTTTGAGCGATAACAATAAGCACAAAAGTATGGTTTTCTCTGGCAATGGCAAGTATGTTGCTCCATGTAACGTGTTAAAACTGTATTCGATCGTTACACAATAAATGATATTCCAGTTTTAATACTAGACCGTTCCAAGTGAATCAAAATATATTTTCCTAGGAATAAAGTAGACTTTCCATGAGACGTTTAGATAACTATGTTTTTAATTGTTCGTAGAGGCAACGAGACAAAGTGCATATCGAACGTATTTCACACCCTTAAAAATTCTATTATCATCTCTCAATGCTCACTTTTATTAAAATGCTCCATTTTTAATCACGCATTTTTGCTAGTAACTATTTGAATGGATGCCATATTTGTTATATGCACTTTTATGCACTTTAATGCACTTAGTTAATAATAGTTAACCGTATTATGTACAGAATTCACTTTAATTTATCAGAATATTGGATTGATACAAGGTAGAGAGATGGGCTCGAAAATAGTAAGGATTGATTATTTGAAAAGACGTGATTTATGAAATTGTATGGAATGGATATTATTGACAGGTTCGTTAAAGTTATGGTGCATAAGACTTCAAAGAACAATATGAGCAAAGGTGATATCATTTTAATGTTCACGATTATACTCAGAATATACGCTATGATAGTCACAAGTCTTTTGATTTTCAGAAATACTTGGCGTATGAACAATAACAGAATATGTATTTTTTAACTGTTGCATTTCATATCCTTTACCTGAAAGGTAATATTGAACAGTTTATTCACTAGAGTTCACTTTACTGTTTCAAATCAATTTTGTATTTAATGTTAGATAGGTCTCATTCTTAATGTAATGCACTGACATAAAAAACTGAGTATAATGAAGTACTATAAGTGTTACTATGTGCTACCACTAATTCATTAGATTGTACTTAGATATTTTATTTTTGTTCATTTTATTTATTTTGATGATACCATATGGATAACCTTTTCAATGTTATTTTTTTGTTTTGTTAAACAGATTGCTCAGTATTTAAAATTATGAAGTTTCATAATGTTGGCATACCTCTGTTTAACTTGACTGCAAAGTGTTGATTTTGTCGAAATTCTATGTTTCTAAAAAAACTAAATTTAAAATGAACATAATTGGTTTATTCCCACCGCACACTGTTCTCTATTTGGATCGTTAACATTATGAGGTTTGCCGCAGTGGTTTAGCGCATGATATATATATATAGCAGTTATCCATATGCAATGCACAACCTAGCGTTTATTTTTACTAGTTAGAATCGTCAAATGAGCAAATATGAAATGGTCAAGATATATTCAAGAGTAGTGATAGTAACAGTTTAATTGTAGTGGGGAATAATAAATCTTTAAAAAAATGATCTCAAAATAAAAAATGTATTTCTGGAATTGGAATTAGGTTAATGATAATCATACAGATCAGTACCTAAGATAAAGGTCAATAGTAAATTCACACTATTTTGACTGATAACTCCGCCTCTAGCTCTTCAAAAGCTACTGCCTGCCCTAAGCCCAGGTAAAGTAAGAATGTCGGGCATAGGGTCTACAACCTTATCTCGTACAAACCAACATTGCCACAATATGACAATTGTTAAAAAACAATTCAAACCACTTAAATTCTATCCTCCGATTTGAAGGTTCGTCATTCAGAAGAACTATGATACCTCATGGTGATAGCCGAAGTTTCTCAGAAGTCACGAGGCCGATACCTCTTTTAATATCCTGAACAACAATTAATTTTGTTACATGAAATGTTCGGACAATGTGGGAGTTCGGAAGGACCAGTCATATAGTTACGGAAATGGGGAGATACAACTTAGTGGTTCTCAGACTCAGTGAAACTCATTGGATCTCAGCTGGACAGAACAGGTTAGATTCAAGAGAGATGCTACTGTACTCCAGTCACGAAGAAGAAAATGCTCCACTCATTCAGAGATTTTCTCTGTTGCTGTCCAAAGAGGCACGAAATGCACTCATACGATGGGAATCTCATGAATTCAGGGTCATCGATGCATCTCTCAAAACAAAGAAGGAGGTAATCACAATCAATGTTATCCAGTACTATGCGTCCACCGATGATTGCGATGACGACAATAAAAATCGCTTCTATGAGAGGCTGTAATCAATCATAGCGAAGTTCTTAGGAAGGTATCTGATCATCCTGATTAGAGACCTAAACGCCAAAGTCGGAATAATATGAAGATATCACGGGACGACATGGGCTGGGAGAGAGAAACGAAAATGGGGAAAGATTTGTAAACCTATGTGCACTGAACAAACCGATTGCAGGCAGTACTATATTCCCACACAATGGCACATTCTGTTATTCACTAACGTGATATATATATATATAAATATATATATATATATATATATATATTTCAATAACGATAATCATACGACCTAACTTGAGATAGATATAGGGCCACAAAAGTAGTGAGCCCATCGATAACATCGTCTGACGTAATTGACGTCGAGATGGTGGAGAAGATTTGTAGCTCAGGTGGATGATTTTGATGGAGTTTTGTTCTCTGAGCTGAATGGTTTGGTCGTGGAGCTTTCATCGTTCTTCTGAACGACATCATCAGCACAAACTTCAGATAGAAGTGAGGTGTTCGAATTTCTCCATATGCGTTTCACAGCTTGTTCTGTGCACCTCGATGTTGATTGGTTCTTATTGACCTTAAATTTGTCATTGTTTACCTTTTTGTCTTGGTTTTGTCTCCTATTGGTTTGATTCTTGTTCCTATATTTGTGCATAAGTTTCCTGATTGGTTGATAAATCGGATCGATTTCAATATGTTTGTTGATTGCTGATTGACCTGAGTGCCAGGCTTCTAAAAATTCTCTTGTGTTTTTAGAATTTCCTCTGTCCACGATTTCCACATTTTTCCAATCGAATGTGTGTCCGCAGTTGTCCACGTGTATTGATATAAGTGAGGAGATATCATGCCGTTTGACTGCTAATTGATGTTCATGTAAGCGCATGTGAAGGGGGCGTCCGCTTTGTCCGATGTAATGTTTGTCGCAGTTGACACAATTTATTTTGTAGATGATGTTCGATTTATCTTCTTTTGTTATTTCATCCTTTGGTTTGCATAGGATTGACTGTATTGATTTTGTCGGTTTGTGTGCCACGCCTATCCCGAAGGTTTTTAGCAGCCTTGTTGCGGTTTCTGATATGCCATGTATGTATGGTAGGGTGATCCGTTTGTTGATTTT